CTGGGACACATTCGAGCGTAAGAAGGACTATCACTAATATTTATAAAGTGGGACAACAGACATGAACCAGCACTGTCCTAGCACACACAGAAGTATTGTCACACCAGAGAGACATTGCTAATCCCTGAGTGGGGTTGGCATTCTTCAGTCTCCAAGAAGTTCCTGTTGGTAGCTTACTTTCTTTAAAGTGCTGTTTCTTGGTATCTCCCTTCCCCTTAGACAAAGTAACATAAGTGAAGAGAGAATGAGAGATATTCTACTTGATTTTTTTTTCTCAACATAGGAGAAAAGTCTGCAAGGAAGAGGTAAATGCAAAGCATTCTGTATTTTATTCCAGGCACTTTTAAATAAATGAAGGCTTCTAGTTTCTGAATTACTTTTTACTTCTAGATTGGTTATTAATTTCTTTTCACTATCAGCTAAAGTACAAGGTATTCTTTTACCTTTCCTACAAAACTTAGGAGAACTGGAGACACATAAAGTTGGCAGTCCCTCAGAAATGAGTCTCTGAGTTTAAGGTAGACACGTCTGTCCCCATTGAATCTATGCATTCTATGTTCTATAAAAACATTGTAAGAAAAAGCTGGCTTTTAAAATGTTGGACATTTGGGGGGCAGTAGAATTTTTTGCATCCATATTTTATTGAATAAAATATTAAAAAATGTTTTACTTCCCAAGTAAAGAGAGAGAATATGGAGGTCAATTTCATCTACCTAATAATTTACTCATTAAAGTAGTACTTGCTTTGCTTTGTTCTCACATTGGCAAATACAAACTTATCACCTGGTGGAGAATTTAAACTTTATATGAATACTTCCTCGTAAAACTCAGAACATTTTCAAGATGTCTCTAGAATAAAGTAAAATTTCAACATCAAATTTGAAAATCAGTTTAACAAAACCCAGTAGATAACTGTTGCATATCACGTAGCAATGTTTTGTGGCCTAATTTCTCTGTATTCTAATAAGTATATTAAAATTCCAAAATTATGTTATTAAACATTTTTCTTTTGAAATATTTATCACAAAGGTTACTCCAGGTATCATATTTGAAATTTAGTTTTGTCTTTAATAGATATGTCTATAATATATAAAAATGTAACTATAAAATATAAAAAGTACAAAGTCTCTAGGTTAAGTCATAGGTCTGGGAACTTCTATATGAGTGCAAGGAGGGGATAAATGACCATGGGACGCACCATTCACTTTTAAGTGTGTTACTTTTGGAAAATCTTGTATAGGGCTGGAGTTGCATAACAATAATAAACTTTACCCAACTTCCTAGCTTTAAATATAAACACAATTTACTCAAAATACTAACTTTCTTTATTGATCCCTATTCTGCGAAAGGCACCCTGGAGAATCTCCCTGTCCTCACAGATTCAAAATGTGACCCAGTTGTCCAAGACAGAACTATAATTGAACATATAGTGAAAATTAACATAAATTAAAAATTATATTGAGGCAATATTTATGAAAAACTCATCTATGTGATTGACAGAATGGGTCTAAAAAATCTTTTAAGTCAAGCAAAAACTAATTTCCTGCATAGCTATTATTAATACATAGTTATCATTTAATTTCCATCCATTATTAAAAGCTATGAAACTAAGGTTTGGAAATATGTCCTCTTTAATATTTTTTAAAGTCAATATTTTCTTAACATGAGGTAGCTTTCTAGCAGCATTTTAGGTGCTGTTATCCAAACATAGTTTGGTTTGGCATGATACCAGTTCTGGGCAGGGGCGGGAGGGGAAAACTAGTCCTTTAGGAGAATTACATTGAATCGCAGTTAAAGGTGGTCTTCTACTTACATTAATGCGGTGGGAGAGAAGTACAGGAATTTTAGAAGAGGCAGCATTTTTCCAGGTAAGAAAATAAATATCTACTCTCACTGCCGTTCCATTTCCTCCCAGGTAACATTGGCTCATTTTAATTCCTAGTAAGCTATTAATTACCAAAATTTAATTTACTAGGACCCAATTCTAATTTACTAGATGTTTCTAAGTTATTGGTTTGGATGTTTTGTATTATCACTAGACTCATTTTAATTTTTTTATAAAATATTTTTTTTTCTAGGCAGTAATATAGTAAGAAGTAACTAAAAAAATGAATATTGATACAAATAAGGTATGATAGGTATTAAAAAGGTGTTAATTCTGAAGTCCAAAAATATAAACATCATACAAAATAAACCTTTGGTTCTACACTTGATTTATAAATATCTCATTTTTTAAAGTTTTAAATTCATTATAGTAGGACTTGCTCTACATTACTTAAGCAAAGTAAATGCAAACATATGACATGGTAGGCACATTGACACTTTCTATGAACATGTTCTAATGGAATTCAAAGTATTCTCTAGATTTTACTAGAGTGAAGTAAAATTTCAGCGAAAAATAAAACCACATCCACTCATTTAAATAAATCAGTCCTCAGGAGGTAAAGGTCACGAATACTCATGTTTTAGCAAGTAATGAGATTGTGTTCCAGTGGTAATTTTCTCGATACTTTAGTATTATTCTATTGTTGTACATTTAAGTCTTTGCTCTTAATCTTTTAAAAAAGAGATTATGATTTAATCTATAATAATAATTTTTTCTCATGAAGAGATTCCTATATTAACTAATTGTCTGTTTATTTTGATTAAATTAAAAATTCCTCTGGATAAAGCCTTCTATTTTGCATTGACTAGACATGTCGAATGTCCTTGACCATTTATTTTTAAAGATTTTAAAGAACATTAAAACCTTCGCTCTTGGAATTTGGGATGCTTTTTTGGACCAACTAGGAATTTGCCTGCCCACACTGTAATTACTCTCTTTGGGTATAAAAGGTGGTCAGTGAGGGGAGTATAAATTGGGACTTACGAATTGCTTAAGGAGAAATTTTTCACTTTCTCATCTTTAGAATTAGTTTGGCCCAAGAGTTAGTTTGAAGTCAATACAAATTAAATTCAAATTCATATTTTCATAAGATGAGTACATGTATAAAATATAATTTGACTATTTGTTTTAACTTAAATTTTCTTATATTTTTCTTTTAACAAAAATAAAATAGAAAAGAAAAAATATTAATGGATAGAGAGTAGAAATAAAAAGAATATAAGTTTCCAAACTTAGTTGCAAATTAGAACTACCTAAAAATCTTTAAAAAATACTGACCCCAAGCTCTGATCCCAAGACATTCTGATGTAATTGGTATGAGGTGTGATCTTGGCAATAGCAGTTTGAAAAGCTCTCCAGGTGTTTCTAATGTGCAGTCAAGTTTGGGAACCACTGTCCTCGGGAATGTGAGAAGCAAAATGTAAAGCTGAAAACACAAGGCCTTTCAGAGTTTCAACTGTAGCACTGAGGCCTTTGATATCTGATTGGAGTTAATAGAACTGAAAAGTGAAAAGGACTTTGTTATTGGAATTTATATGATTTTCATTGGAATCTGGTCTGATTTTGGATCACAGAATTCCATTCAAGGGTCGACAAGTTTTCTTTTCATGCCTTTGTACTTTTGTTTTCCCTGGAGTTCTGTAGAATTTTATAAGGGCCAAAGGATTTTTTTAAATGGAAATTGTAGTACTGTTATGTCTTAAACCACAAATGAGACTGGAGCAGCAGTAATAAGTATTTGGTGTTTGGACTTTGACTATTTCTGTTTTGAAGGAAAAGCAACCATTTATAAGTATTGCAAGAAAGTAGTGCCTTCTACTCCCCTCCACCCCAGTTTTTATAGCACCCTCAGACGTTCCTGTGGAAGAGGCCACAAACCCTAGGTACTTTTGGTAAGTAACACCATTGCTGAGTGTCTGAAGAATCAGCTTCTAATTGGTAGTGATGGATGTAAGATTTTCCTGTGACAATGCAAAGACTGAAGTACTCAGCTATGTTAAAGCTGTCTGATACTTATTGGAAGAAAAAGGAAGGGAAGGTAGAGGATTTCTCGACAGATTTAATATAAGTGGGTTAGAATAATAGTGCAAGACTGAACCTAAGTTAATATAACTGTTTCTGAATGCTAGATGGTGGTCTGGGTACTGCAAAATGATCAAAGAAATAAATCTTCACTTCTCTCTTTGAAATGACGTTTCAGCCAATTTGCCGAATAGTAAAAAAATAGTAGGTGATATTCTATACATGTGATTTACTTTTTAAAGATATTAGAGATGAGCAAAATGGGGCTGAAATGAAAATAAATCAATAGGGACACATCAAATGTTTAAAATGAGAAAAAGTCATTTCAAATTGTAATGATTATTATATTTGTGGGGGTCCTTGGGAAGGTCAAGAGTCCTAGGGAAAAAGAGGCATGGGCTAATGAGTTTAATAAACAATAGGCCTGGATTGTTTTAACCATATCTGTAACATATCACATCAATTTCCAGGAAGTCTCCAGGGATTTTAGGGGACAGGGAGATCCTGGATGGAACTGACTGGATGGAAATGTTAGACATGCAGTGATGCTGACTTCATCAAACCTTGGACAGTCTTTCACAAGCTTCAACCTGCGAACATACCTGGTGTAGTGGCAATGGGGAACACATTTTGAAAAGCATCCTCCCACCTTCGCTCTGCCTTTTGTGACTTTGTGTTATCACAAAAGCTGCTGTTAGCCAGGGTTAAGACTCTGGAGTTTACTTGGATCTCTTTGTCATTACTGACTGCTCAAGTCTGCTCAGCCCCTGAACTCTTTCTGGCTAGAAGATCTCTCTCCACTCTATCAAGGGTTATAAACAGGCTCCCAAGACCCTCAGGAATCTTGGAAGAACAATTTTTTGGGGCAGTGGCTCTTTAGCTTTCTGTAAGACAAAAGGCTCCTTATGTTTGATTACATTAGGAATAATGTTCTCATATCATCATTCTATGGTTAGTATAAGCTATACAGTCTGAGGAAAGGCTTCACTTTAGGAAAAGTATTATATAGGACCATCAGGGGATGGGGTTGGAGGTTTATTTCTTCTATATAGAGTTTTGTATGTCTTATTGTTAAAATGAAAAACAGATATCTTCAGAAAGCTCCATATCCATCCCCTCGGGCAGTCACAGCAAAAGTGGGGTAGACCTCATATGTTGTATATGCTGCTAAGTCTTGTCCAAGGGTCACTGCTTGCTTGAGCTGGGCTGCAGACACAGGTGCAGTTGCATTAGGAACAGCATATCCTGGAGGAGAAGGCAGAGAACATTTCATGAAAAGGATTCTGGTTTGCTTCTTTTTGGCTTATTGTCTTCTTTTTTGGAATATGTCCATATTCTCATACATCCATTTTAAAAGGTGCTCTCAGGAGACTCATTCATTAGGGGACAGTGTTCTCCAAAATGGGGTCAAACACACTTTACTTTTAGAGAATTAGAAACATTGGGGATAGATTCCAAGAAACAGAAACTTAACAGGATGTTGAGTTGACTAAAGCTTGAGATTTACAGCTTTTACAGAGGGTCTCAGAATTTATAAAAGAGAGGAGGATGGGTTGGCACGTCATGGGGGATGGGGCTCTGCGGGTCTGCTTCTCCTGCACCCCCAACCCTTACCTAAATGAAATGTTAAAAGCTGTTGTCTTTACCCAAAAAGGATCTATAGGAACTGGATAGACCAGCAGGAGAAATATTTAAAGTTTTAGCATGTTTTATAGTATAGCACCATAAAAGCAAATACGTAGCCTTATTTAGACCTAACTATGAAGGGCAAATAAATCTTCTTACCCTACCAGGAAGCTGTCTTTGGTGTATTTTGAGGCCTTGATGTCATTCCTCACTCTCAGAAAACCAAGGGGTTTGACTGATAAGGAAATTATCACATATCTAGTTGATTAATTTCACGTTTGAAGGAGAGAGCATAGCACTTATTATCTAAAACCACTATTTCCCTATTAGTGTTTTAGACCAAAACCTAGGTGTTTCTGAGATGATCCAAAAAATGTAAAAGATAACAGGAAAAATGGAGACAAGAAAAGTATACTTGAGCAACAAATGGGGATCTGATTTAAAAAACAAAAGCTCATTTAGTTCGTGTGCTATGGAAGTCTGCCCAATCTCAGACATATTGATTTCTTTCTGGTGGCTCCTCAGGAGGCAGTGGCAGGAAGCTGGCTGGACTATTAAAAAAATTAAATCCACTCTTTGGCTCGTGCACTTTGGGCAGTAATGCTGACTAATGCACTAGTGAAGTTTGGTACATTTTCCAAGGATATGAGAAATGTGTTAACAATTACTTCCATAATTTTGGAAACGGTATTTCTAAAGTAAATGAGTGAGTGAGTAACCAATGTATGTGTGTATGTGTGTATAGCATAGATTTTTATCTCTAAGGATTTCTAATTTTCTTTTCCAGTTTGGCTGATTTCTTAAAGTGTAATAATATTTACATTTCAAACAGACTCTTCCCTTGTAGCCTATTGTTCTCTGTTTGATTCCACAGTAAGGTTATAAGAGAAGTTATCAAATTCTTAGGCATTTCCAAGACAACTCTCATGCCCTAAATATCTATACTTCTTGCAGGAGCAAATAAAAGTGAGGGTAAGATAAAACATTCTTGGGTAAAATCAAATCCTTTCAAATGTGAAATCAAATTTTAAAATTTCCCTGATAGAGGCTCATTTATTTTTATAGCACATTAGTTAGGTGTCTTTAAGGTACAGCTTTCTGCAAGACAGGGTTCAACTTTTCTAAGAACTGAGAAGTCCTGGCACACATCTCCAGTAGACAGACATGTCAACACCCTGTTTTATGGAGAGCAAGTGTCAGGCGGATGGCCCCAGACAGCCCAGAGGAGATCTTGCCCTCCGCAGTGGCAGCTGTTGCCTTGGTAACCCCTCAGGGGCACACTACGCATCTTCCTGTTCTACAGAACAAAGCTGGAATTGAGGTCATATTCGCATGTGAAGCATGATCAGTTCCAGCTCACTTGCCAGAGTGGAGGATATATTTGCAATTTTTGAGAAATAAAAAAAAAACGACAGTGAGCTCCAGGTGTTATAGATGTGAGAAATATAGAGTTCGCCCACCTTCATATAACCAATTTATGAATTAATCAATCAATAGGAATGTCATTCTTCCAGGTCTAGTCAGAACTATCTGATTTGGGTTTATGGGAGTATACTGACACAATGACAAGTCAGAATGACAAATTTCTCTAAAAAACAAAAAAACAAAAAAACTTTTTTGTTTTTTACTTCTAAAAGTAGAGTTAGGCTAAATGCTGAGGAAAAGATTCCCAAAGAAATTTCTCGTCTGGTCCTTTTTAATCTTTAGAGGACTCATTTTTAATTGTCAGCATTTGTTATGGGTATAAATAAATGGGGGGAAGTGTTTTAAATGTAACCCTGAAGGCATGTTGACCTACACATAGGCTTTATTTTAAGCAATCAGCACATGCAGTAGACCAAAATTATAGAATAGATAAAAGAAAGTCTGATTGTGCACATATTGAAAGGATCTCTCTCTCTCCCTCTCTCTCTCTCTTTGTCTCTCTCTGTCTCTCTGTCCCTCTTTCTCTCTTTCTCTGTATCTTTCTGTCTCTCTCACACACACAGTTTTTGATATAAAATAATTCAAGAAAAAATGTAATCTACATATCTCTTTCAAAAATCAAAGTAATAAGAATAAAATTGAAAATCAGATTTGGGGAGGGAGCCCAAGGATTACTTAAAAACTGATAGATGTTGGCTGAAAGACTTTCAGTACTTGATTTCTTCATCTGCACAATGGGCATTATGATAGAACCTACCTACCTCTTGTGGTGTCATGAGCATTACTGATATAATATAAAGCATGCTGGGCATTGAAGTGCGTGCCAGGCACATAGTAAGAGCTCAAGTAAATATTAGCTGTTAATAGGCAATTCCAACCTCTCTTGCTAAAAGTAAAAACCAAACCAAACTGAAGCAAATCAGATACAGAGAGACTGACTCATTCAAGATCACACAGCTGTTAAAGCTGAGACAAGACCAGACCCCACTTCTGCTGCCCAGCTCAATTCTCTTGCCTCATATTTTAATGGTTCACTTATTTGGCAAATTCTTTTTGGTCACAGATGGTGTAAATCAGATTTATTGTAGGTGGAGTTCACAAACAACTCTGAGTCCAATGTACCAACAAACGGGTTTCCCAAACACTCTCTGCAGGGTGCCATTTCTGGTGCAATATTTCCATACCCGGAAAAGCAGCAGCAGAAGCAGCAGCAGCAGCAACAGCTGTAGTGGGAGCGTCCACTCCATCAGTGGGAATGCCCAGGGTCTGCAGGGTATACTCAGCTGCATATGTCTTTGCTTCATCCACATAGGCACTTAGCTTCGGAGGTGTGAAAGCGTGGCTGGAAAGCATAGGTCAGGGTAGGCATTTTAAACTTGTGCTAACGAGACAGATAGAAATCTAAGGTGGTGTTAGTTTTTCAAGATGATAAGATAATAGGTTTTTGTGTGGGTATTCATCATTCTCTTTGCTATTAAATCTTCCAAATATATAAACATGTAGGAATATTTGTGAACTGACCTACAGCATCAGTGGTCGATAATATTCCTGGAGCAGACTCGTAACTCATTACATGGTTTTTCTATGGTACATATGAAACATAATGATTCCTGAAATAAGTAGAAATGCAGGCTCGAGATAAAATCTGAAAGGTAATATTCACTAATAGAGAGGTTGTATCTTTGGTCCAAATTTAAATGACAAGAAATGATGTTATTGTGTGTAAATGGCAATTTTATATGGTTCAATGTAAACACTATGCAGAAAAAAGAATGAGCTACAGTTTTCATTTCTATTACATTTTACATCTATGGTTTTCCATTGATTGATTATTCTACCTGGTCTTCGTTGTCTATATGAAATTTGAAGGCTTTGAGATGCCAGTCTCATAGCTGGCACGTATATCCCAACTACACATATCAACATTTGCATTTAATAAAAAATGAGTAAGTAGTAGACTTGAATATTTTTATCTTATTTAGATAGTGATACAATACGCTTAATTTACAAGAGCCTCTTATTCTAAAATCTAAATGACTAGGAATTTGGAGAATATACCCACATTGCAGG